GCAAATGCCGGTGCAGGAGCCGTTGCGATCTGGTTGACAAGAGGGATGGATCGAAAAGCAAGGCTTCTGCCGCTTGGAAATTTCATTTTCAGGTCTGCCGGGGCGGTTGCCGCGCTGTTGCTGGTGACCTCGGTTCATTTGCCGCTTGAGGAAATCAGCAGTCTGCCGGCGCAACAGCTTGTTGCAGTTCACATACTGTTCAATCTGGCGCTGGTATTGATCTGTACGCCTCTTACCGCTCCGATGGCCTGGTTGGTCGAACGCATCTTGCCCGAGGACGTGTCAACAGGTGAAGGTGAGCCCAATGCGCCCAAGAGTGCCCTGGATCAAAGGGTCGTGCACGTGCCTCGCCTGGCGCTTGCAAGCGCAACGCGTGAGTTGCTTCGCATGGGTGAGCAGGTTGAAGCCATGGCACAGCCTGTGATGATGATGCTGGACAATGGCAGCGTACCGGAAATTCGCAGACTGCAGCAGATGGATGGCAGCATCAACGTGATCCATTCGGATATCAAACTCTATATTGCGGAGTTGAACCGCGGAGAACTCACCTCCGAAGAGGCCGAGCAAAGTCTTGAACTTGCAAGCTTTGCGATCAACCTGGAACGTGCAGGCGATCTCGTTTCGAAAAACCTGCTGGAAAGGGCCCTGGGGCTTCTCGAAAACGGTGTCAGCTTTTCAGAGGAAGGTCGGAGGGAGCTGGAAAGAATGCACGATCGGGTTCTGGCAAACATGCAGCTGGCGCTTAATGTACTTGTGTCGAGTGATGTGGCTTCCGCGCGCGAATTGATAGCGGAAAAAGACATGATGCGTCTGTTGGAAAAGGAATGTCATGATCGACATCTGGACCGGCTCAAGTCCCGTCTGCCTGAGAGCATTGAATCGAGCAATGCGCATATGGAAGTTGTCAGAAGCCTGAAGGAGATCAATTCTCTTTTTGCGACGGTCGCTGTCCCTATCCTGGCAAGGGAAGGGCAGCTCAGAGACAGCCGACTGGTTCCGGCCGAATAGATATCTTACTGAAAGTAAACACCAAAACGGACAGAACCTTTGTTTGTTCGTTACTGTTCGAATTGAGCCGGGTAACGAAATCAACCGGGATGCATGTCTGTAAACTCGGCTACCGGGGGCAGGTTTTCCACATTGAAAAATCGTCTTATCCGGAGTGGAAAAAGCTGGTTGTCCGCGGCTTTGTCAAAAATCGGCAATTTGGATGCGACAGGGCGCTTGACTTCCCCATCCAGCCGCCGTACATCAGCGCCACTTCAGGGCGACGTCTCGTCGCTGAACGAAGCGGGTGTAGCTCAGTTGGTTAGAGTGCCGGCCTGTCACGCCGGAGGTCGCGGGTTCGAGCCCCGTCACTCGCGCCACTTCCCAACCAAGGTCAAAGCGGCCGGATCGGGATGGCGCAAACTACCGTGAATGTGCGGGTGTAGCTCAGTTGGTTAGAGTGCCGGCCTGTCACGCCGGAGGTCGCGGGTTCGAGCCCCGTCACTCGCGCCACTCACGGTACCTGGATCTTTCCCCAATGCCTCGTTGAACGGCAGTCCCCGGTGAACGACTGGCATCTGGTTCTGGCTGTGTTTTCCCGTTTTCGTATCCCGACATTTACCGTTCAAAACGCCTGTAAACGAGTGACAGGTGCAATGTGTTCAATTTATTGTATTTTTGCAGGTTCGGGCGACTCAATCCACTTTCCGGCTTTAGAGTGGTAATCATGGATGGGTGCGGCATAATTGCGCTCGACTTGTGAAGAGAATTTACATTGGTGCAAACTGGCTGGAACCGGGGAGTTGAAGAGGGTCTTCTGGAAATTGGTTTGAGTGTGGCAAGAGTTTGACCGTATGGGGGTCTTGCGTTGCACCATATCGTAAGTTAAGCGTGCGCTCGCATGTTGGTTCAATTGGCCGACGGGCTCTGCACGATCTGCCTGCTGGGAGGGGTGATGCGCGGGAGCCCAGGCTCCGGATCGCCTCCCGGTCCGCCTCCAAATGCAAGGACGCGAAAGACATGGAAGAATTGCTGCGGGAATACATCCCGATTGTCGTGTTCGTCGGCATTGCGCTGGTGATTGGCCTTGCGCTGCTGATTTCTCCGTTTTTGCTGGCCTACAGGAATCCGGATCCCGAAAAACTCTCTGCCTACGAATGCGGTTTCAACGCTTTCGACGATGCGCGCATGAAATTTGACGTGCGTTTTTACCTGGTGTCGATCCTGTTCATCATCTTTGATCTCGAAGTTGCGTTCCTGTTTCCCTGGTCGGCCGTGTTCGGTGAACTCGGATGGTACGGGTTCTGGTCGATGATGATTTTTCTCGGCGTCCTGACGGTCGGATTCATCTATGAGTGGAAAAAGGGAGCGCTGGAATGGGACTGACCACGACAGAACCGCTCGTTGCACAGCAACCGAAGGGCATCATTGATCCGAACACCGGCAAACCTGTTGGTGAAGACGACGCCTTTTTCCTGGAAGTGAACAATGAGTTGGCGGACAAGGGCTTTCTCGTAACGTCGACCGACAATCTCATTCAATGGGCGCGCACGGGATCCCTGATGTGGATGACTTTCGGGCTTGCCTGCTGCGCCGTTGAAATGATGCAGATGTCGATGCCGCGCTACGACGCTGAACGCTTCGGTTTCGCACCGCGCGCATCCCCCAGGCAATCCGACGTGATGATCGTTGCCGGCACGTTGACCAACAAGATGGCGCCGGCTCTGCGCAAGGTCTACGATCAGATGCCCGAGCCGCGTTACGTCATCTCGATGGGTTCTTGCGCGAATGGCGGCGGGTATTATCACTATTCCTATTCTGTGGTGCGTGGCTGCGACCGGGTTGTGCCCGTCGACATTTACGTGCCCGGTTGTCCTCCGACGGCTGAAGCGCTTCTTTATGGTGTTCTCCTTCTTCAAAAGAAGATCCGGCGCACGGGAACGATCGAACGGTAAGAGATCTTTCGCCAATGATTTGGTGTCGGATTTTTTGTAATAAGACAGGCGCTCCGCGTCTTTTGAAAATGGCTCCTGGGGAGTGAGGTCGAACACGATGGACGAGACGCTGAAGGAACTCGCTGAGCATATCGAGCTTGGCCTGGGTGAGTCTCTTGTGTCCTACAAGGTCGAATATGGTGAGCTGACGCTTTCCGTGAACGCGACCGACATTCTCGATGTGGTCCGTTTTCTTCGCGACAACAGTTCATGCAAGTTCGTCAATCTGACTGATATTTGCGGGGTCGACTATCCGGCACGCGAAAAGCGTTTCGATGTCGTTTATCACTTCTTGTCCCCGGTCCAGAATCATCGGATCCGAGTGAAGCTTGAAACCGACGAAGACACAGCTGTGGCTTCGCTCACGCCCTTGTTTCCCGGTGCGGAATGGTTTGAACGCGAAGCCTATGACATGTACGGCATTCTGTTCACCGGCCACCCGGATCTCCGCCGGATACTGACCGACTACGGCTTTGACGGTCACCCGCTACGGAAGGATTTCCCCGTTACCGGATTTGTCGAAGTCCGCTACGACGACGAAAAGAAGCGTGTTGTCTACGAGCCGGTGCGGCTGAACCAGGAAATGCGCTCATTTGATTTTCTTTCGCCATGGGAGGGCACTGACTACGTGCTGCCAGGCGACGAAAAAGCAACGACGAATTGAGGCGGGCAGGGATGAGCGAGCAGCTAACTGGCAGTTGTCTTTGCGGGGAAGTCAAGTTTACCGCTGTTCCCACCGATGGCGAAATGGGTGTCTGCCACTGCGAAATGTGCAGACGCTGGACCGGCGGCACTTACATGGCGGTTTCCTGTGGCACGAGTGTCTCGTTTCAGGATGAAGCAGCGCTCGGCGTCTACAGGTCATCGGACTATGGGGAGCGCGTGTTTTGCAATACTTGTGGCTCCACAATCGCCTGGCGCCTGCGGGACGGCTCCCACACTTCGATGTCGGCGCAGGCGTTCGACGATCCTTCGATCTTCAAATTCACATCTGAAATCTTCGTGGATGAGCAACCGGAAAATTACGCGTTTGCGAATGAAACCCGCAAAATGACCGGTCCGGAAGTCTTCGCGTATTACGTCCAAAAGCAGGATCCTCAAAATGGCTGAGGCTCAGGTCAGAAACTTCAACATCAACTTCGGACCGCAGCATCCGGCGGCACACGGGGTTCTTCGCCTGGTGCTGGAGCTGGATGGCGAGGTGGTAACCCGCGTCGACCCGCATATAGGTCTCCTGCATCGGGGAACCGAGAAACTCATCGAGCAGAAGACGTATCTGCAGGCAATTCCCTACTTCGATCGCCTCGACTACGTGGCGCCGATGAACCAGGAACATGCATTTGCGATGGCCGTCGAGCGGCTGATTGGGATCGAGGTGCCGAAGCGGGGCCAGCTGATCAGGGTTCTGTATTCTGAAATCGGTCGCATCCTGTCGCACCTCTTGAACGTGACGACACAGGCGATGGATGTCGGTGCCCTGACGCCGCCGCTTTGGGGGTTCGAGCCTCGCGAAGAACTGATGGTGTTCTACGAGCGTGCCTGTGGCGCACGCATGCATTCCGCCTATGTACGTCCAGGCGGGGTTCATCAGGACCTGCCGCGCGATCTTCTCGACGATATCTGGGATTTTTGCGACCCGTTTCTGCAGACACTGGATGATATTGAAGGACTGCTGACCGACAACAGGATCTTCAAGCAGCGCAATGTCGATATCGGTGTCGTCGATCTGGACGATGCCTGGGCGTGGGGCTTTTCCGGTGTCATGGTGCGCGGGTCAGGAGCGGCATGGGATTTGCGCAAGTCGCAACCCTATGAGTGTTATCCCGAACTCGAATTCGACATTCCGATCGGCAAGAACGGTGATTGCTACGATCGCTATCTCATTCGCATGGAAGAAATGCGCCAGTCGGTTCGGATCATGAAACAATGCCTCGAGAAACTGACTGTGGAAACAGGACCTGTTTCTTCGGTAGACGGCAAGATCGTTCCACCGAAGCGCGGTGAAATGAAGCGGTCGATGGAAGCGCTAATTCACCACTTCAAGCTCTACACCGAGGGGTATCATGTCCCGGCCGGGGAGGTGTATGCCGCCGTTGAAGCGCCAAAGGGGGAATTTGGCGTCTATCTTGTCTCGGACGGTACCAACAAGCCGTACAGGTGCAAGATCAAGGCACCTGGGTACGCACATCTGCAGGCGATGGACTTCCTTTGCCGCGGCCATATGCTCGCTGACGTCTCGGCGGTGCTTGGTTCAATGGATATCGTGTTCGGTGAGGTCGACCGCTGATGCCGGCGACCAACTACTCTTATTCGACCCTGGCAGCCGCCGAGCCGGCTCCGGTCACTGTGACAGAACGGGGATAACACCATGGCGGTTCGCCGACTTGCCGCGGAACAACCAGAAAGCTTCGAGTTCACCGAGAAGAACCTCGCATGGGCAAACAAGCTGATCGATCGTTATCCGGCGGGCCGTCAGGCTTCCGCGGTCATTCCGCTGTTGTGGCGCGCACAGGAGCAGAATGATGGTTGGGTCAGCGAGCCTTCCATCCGGTACATCGCCGAACTTCTCGACATGCCGAACATTCGTGTCCTGGAAGTGGCGACATTCTACACGATGTTCCAGCTGCAGCCTGTCGGCAAGAAAGCGCATATTCAGGTTTGTGGAACGACGCCCTGCCAGCTGCGTGGATCAGAAGATCTGATCAAGATCTGCAAGTCCCGCATTGCGAATCACATGCACGAAATCTCCGAGGATGGCATGTTCTCCTGGGAAGAAGTCGAGTGCCTGGGAGCCTGCGTCAATGCGCCGATGGTGCAGATCTACAAGGATACATACGAAGACCTGACTCCGGAGAGCTTTGAAAACCTGCTTGACGACATTGAAGCCGGTAACGAGGTAACACCGGGACCACAGAATGGCCGCCGGTTTGCAATGGCCGAGGGTGGCCTGACAAGCCTGACCGAACTTGACGATGACACCAAGGGTGTTCTGCCGCTGCCGCATGTCGTTGACGGCGCGGAAAAGGCGTCGCACGAGTTTGCAGGTGCCGCCATCAACACGGGTGGCAATGACTATGACGGTGTGCCGACGCCGGCTGAAGATGCCGTCGCGAAGGTGAGAGCGGAGTTCGCTGCGAAAGCGGAGAAAAAGGCTGAAACTCCGGCTCCGGCTCCGGCTCCGGCTGCAGCCGAGAAGAAAGCCGAGGCTCCTGCACCGAAGAAAGAACAACCAAAGACGTCACCTGCGAAGAAAAAGGGCACCGCTGCTGCAAAACCGAAAGAAGTTGCAGCCGAAACGCCCGCAGTTGAAGAACAAGCGCCCGAGACACTGGATGGGCCTCGTGGTGGCAAGGCGGACGATCTGAAGAAACTGAAGGGTGTCGGACCGAAACTAGAGGCGACTCTTCACGAACTCGGGTTTTATCACTTCGATCAGGTTGCCAACTGGGGGCCGGCCGAAGTCGCCTGGGTGGATAGCAGATTGAAGTTCAAGGGCCGTATCGAGCGTGATGGCTGGATCGAGCAAGCCAGAACTCTTGCTGCCGGTGAAGACACAGAATTTTCCAAGCGCGTGGAAGCCGGTGAAGTGGCCTCCTCGAAGAGCGAAGAATAGGGGGAAGAGATGCTGAAAGATCAGGATCGGATCTTCACCAATATCTACGGTCTGCACGACTGGGGACTGGACGGTGCGAAAAAGCGCGGCCAGTGGGACGATACCAAGGGGCTGATCGACAAGGGCCGTGACTGGATCATTCAGGAAATGAAGGATTCCGGTCTGCGTGGCCGTGGTGGTGCAGGCTTTCCCACGGGACTGAAATGGTCATTCATGCCCAAGGCAACCGACGGGCGTCCGGCGTATCTCGTCGTCAATGCCGACGAATCCGAACCTGGAACCTGCAAGGATCGGGAAATACTGCGTCATGACCCGCATACGCTGGTCGAGGGATGCCTGGTAGCCGGTTTCGCCATGGGGGCCATTGCCGCCTATATCTACGTGCGCGGCGAATTCATCCGCGAACGAGAGCGACTGCAGGCGGCAATCGATCAGGCATACGATGACGGACTGATCGGCAAGAACAACAAGAACGGTTACGATTTCGACATCTATGTCCATCACGGCGCAGGTGCCTACATCTGCGGCGAGGAAACAGCGCTGCTGGAAAGTCTTGAAGGCAAGAAGGGCCAACCGCGTCTGAAACCGCCTTTTCCGGCCAATGTCGGCCTCTATGGCTGTCCGACGACCGTAAACAACGTTGAGTCCATTGCCGTGGCGCCAACAATCCTGCGACGGGGAGCCGCCTGGTTCTCCGCTCTCGGGCGGCCAAACAACACAGGCACGAAACTCTTCTGCGTCTCCGGACACGTCAATCAGCCGGCGACCTTCGAAGAAGAACTCGGGGTTCCGTTTTCGGAGATGATCGACAAGCACTGCGGCGGTATTCGCGGTGGATGGGACAACCTTCTGGCGGTTATCCCGGGTGGGTCCTCGGTTCCCTGCTGCACGGCGGACGAGATCAAGGACGCGCCGATGGATTTCGACACCCTTCGCGGCATGGGGTCTGGCCTCGGAACTGCGGCCGTGATCGTGATGGATAAATCAACCGACATCATCAAGGCAATCGCGCGCCTTTCCTACTTCTACAAGCATGAAAGCTGCGGTCAGTGCACGCCATGCCGGGAAGGCACAGGCTGGATGTGGCGGGTGATGGAACGCATGGTCAAGGGCGAATCCTCCTACGAGGAAATCGACATGCTGTTCAAGGTTACAAAGCAGGTCGAAGGCCATACGATTTGTGCGCTCGGGGATGCGGCTGCATGGCCGATCCAGGGTTTGATCAAGAATTTCCGGCCGGTCATCGAGCAACGCATCGACGACTATGTTGCCAAGTCGAAGGCGTCTTCGACAATGGTGGCGGCTGAGTGAGCGGAACGGGATTTGGAGAGCAACGGATGACGAAGCTCATCATCGACGGCAAGGAAGTGGAAGTCCCGGCGGACTACACGCTGCTTCAGGCCTGTGAAGAGGCGGGCGCCGAGGTTCCGCGCTTTTGTTACCACGACCGGCTGTCGATAGCCGGCAACTGCCGCATGTGCCTGGTGGAAGTGAAGGGTGGGCCGCCCAAACCGACCGCGTCATGCGCCATGGGCGTAAAAGACCTGCGCTCGGGGCCCAATGGCGAGCCTCCCGTCGTCGAAACCAAGTCCGAAATGGTCAAGAGCGCGCGCGAAGGGGTGATGGAGTTCCTGCTCATCAACCACCCGCTCGATTGTCCGATCTGTGACCAGGGTGGCGAGTGCGACCTGCAGGACCAGGCCATGGCCTACGGGGTCGACGGGTCGCGTTTTCACGAAAACAAGCGTGCGGTCGAGAACAAGGAAATCGGTCCGCTGATCAAGACGATCATGACCCGCTGCATCCATTGCACCCGTTGCGTCCGATTCACCACAGAGGTGTGTGGCGTAACCGACATGGGTCTTGTCGGTCGCGGTGAAAATGCCGAGATCACCACATATCTTGAAGCGGCCCTGTCATCGGAGATGCAGGGAAACGTGGCGGATCTGTGCCCGGTCGGTGCTCTGACGCACAAGCCTTATGAATTTCATGCGCGTCCATGGGAACTGACCAAGACCGAGAGCGTGGATGTCATGGATGCGGTCGGATCCGCGATCCGTGTCGACTCCCGTGGCAAGGAAGTCATGCGCGTCATGCCGCGCCTGAACGAGGAGGTCAACGAAGAATGGATCTCCGACAAGTCCCGGTACATCTGGGATGGTCTCAAGACGCAACGCCTTGATCGTCCCTATGCCAAGAAGGACGGCAAGCTGCAGCCTGTCTCCTGGACGGAAGCTTTCCAGATCATCGCCGAAAAGGTGAAGGCTACGTCGGCTGGCAAGATCGGTGCGCTCGCCGGGCAGTTGGCCAGTGTCGAAGACATGTTTGCGCTGAAATGCCTGATGGAAAAGCTGGGCGTTGCGAATATCGACAGCCGTTTCCCGGGGTCGCCATTGCATCCTGGAAACGGTCGTGCGAGCTACATTTTCAACTCCACGATCCAGGGCATTGAAGACGCTGACGCGATCATGCTGATCGGCACCAACCCTCGGCAGGAAGCGCCTGTGCTGAATGCGCGTATCCGCGCACGCTGGACGAGGGGCGATGTTCATATCGGGCTTATTGGCGAAGACGCCGATCTGACGTATCCGGTGACTTACCTGGGTGCCGGGCCTGAAAGCCTTAAGCAGTTTGTCGACCACGCTCCGGCAAAGGCCGAGCGTCCCATGTTCATCATCGGGCAGGGCGCTCTCAACCGTCCGGATGGAGCTGCCGTTCTGGCCACTCTGGCGGCAGCTGCAAAATCGCTCGGAGTTATCAAGGAAGGCTGGAACGGTTTCAACGTGTTGCACACAGAAGCCTCCCAGGTCGGCGCGCTCGATATCGGTTTTGTTCCGGGTGAAGACGGCAAAGACACTGGTGCCATGCTGGAAGAAGGAGCGCTTGATTTGCTCTTCCTGCTCGGTGTCGACGAACTTGATGTTCCGGACGGTGCCTTCGTGGTCTACCAGGGTACACACGGTGATCGCGGAGCACATCGTGCCGACGTGATCCTGCCGGGCGCTGCCTACACCGAGAAATCCGGGATCTATGTCAATACCGAAGGCCGTGTCCAGATGGCCGACCGGGCGGCGTTTCCGCCTGGCGACGCGCGAGAAGACTGGGCCATTCTGAGGGCGCTTTCCGGAAATCTCGATCAGACGCTGGAATTCGACTCGCTCGCCGAGTTGCGTGCGAAACTGTTCGAAGCCCATCCTCACATGACCGGTATCGATATGATCGAGACGGGTAATGGCGCGGATGTCGAAAAGCTGGCCGACGCGTCTGCCCGCATGGATGGTGCCAGATTTGCCAATGTGATCCGTGACTTTTTTCTGACCAACCCGATCGCTCGTGCCTCGAAAACGATGGCCGAGTGTTCGGCGCTCGCAAAGTCGCGAGCGGCAGAAGCAGCTGAATAAGGGGTAGGGGACCGAAATGGTTGAGTTCTTCGAAGCGACCTACCTGGGTCAGTTTCTCCTGATGGCGCTTAAGAGCGTTCTGCTCATGGTCGTGCTGCTGGTGATCGTGGCCTATATTCTATATGCCGACCGCAAGATCTGGGCCGCCGTCCAGATTCGCCGCGGTCCCAATGTCGTCGGACCATGGGGCCTTCTGCAGAGTTTTGCCGACCTTCTGAAATTTGTCTTGAAGGAACCGGTCATTCCGGACGGGTCGAACAAGATCCTGTTTTTGCTGGCCCCGCTGATCTCCGTGCTGCTAGCCCTGTCTGCATGGGCCGTGATCCCGGTTGCTGACGGCTGGGTGATTGCGAATATCAATGTCGGCGTTCTGTTTGTTTTTGCCGTATCCTCACTTGAAGTCTATGGCGTTATCATCGGCGGATGGGCTTCCAACTCGAAATATCCGTTCCTGTCCGCGCTTCGATCTGCCGCACAGATGGTGTCCTACGAGGTTTCCATCGGCTTCGTGATCGTGACCGTTCTTCTGTGTGCAGGAACCCTGAACCTGACCGGAATTGTCGAGGCGCAGCAGACAGGTCTGGCGACCTTGCTCGGCGTGCCATGGCTGTCATTTCTGAACTGGTACTGGTTGCCGCTCTTCCCGATGTTCGTGGTGTTCTTCGTTTCTGCGCTTGCAGAGACAAACAGACCTCCGTTCGACCTGGCTGAAGCTGAATCGGAACTGGTCGCCGGCTTCATGGTGGAATACGGATCCACTCCGTACATGATGTTCATGCTTGGCGAGTATGTCGCGATCTGTCTGATGTGTGCGCTGATGACCATCTTCTTCATGGGGGGATGGCTGCCGCCCTTCGACTTTGCGCCCTTCACATGGGTGCCCGGGATTGTCTGGTTCATTTTGAAATGCCTGCTCGGCTTCTTCATGTTCGCCATGGTGAAGGCGATGGTTCCGCGGTACCGCTATGATCAGCTCATGCGCCTTGGCTGGAAGGTCTTCCTGCCGCTGTCGCTTGGCATGGTGGTTGTCGTTGCAGCGGTGCTGATGGCCACGGGTTGGGCGCCGGGCGCGACGTGAGCGTGTCGCTTGCCGGAGTGATCGGTGCTGCGATCGGGTTTTATGTCGGCTGGCTCGACTACAAGATCCTGAAGGGGATGCTTCAGGCAACAGAGACGAAGAACAGGCAGGCCGGCGGCGACGGTGGCCGGGCCGCAAGGTACAAAGCGCCCTTGAGCGCACTGATTTTTGGAGTTCCGGTGATCGGCTTCCCGATTGTCGGCTATTGGGCCGCCAGCCAGCTGGCTGGTTGAGGAAAGAGAGGCAAGAAGCGATGGGACTTAATCAAGCCGTCAAATCGCTGTTTCTGCAGGAATTCGTATCGGCGTTCATTCTGGCGATGCGTTATTTCTTCAAGCCGAAGCCAACGGTCAACTACCCTTTCGAAAAGGGACCGGTTAGCCCGCGCTTTCGGGGAGAACATGCTTTGCGCCGTTATCCGAACGGCGAAGAGCGCTGCATAGCCTGTAAGTTGTGCGAAGCCATCTGTCCGGCCCAGGCGATCACCATCGAGGCGGGGCCACGCCGGAATGACGGCACACGCAGGACCACCCGATACGACATCGACATGGTCAAATGCATCTATTGCGGCTTCTGCCAGGAAGCCTGCCCTGTGGACGCAATTGTCGAAGGGCCGAATTTCGAGTTCGCCACGGAAACCCGCGAAGAGCTCTACTACGACAAGGAAAAACTGCTTGCGAACGGCGACCGCTGGGAACGCGAAATCGCCCGGAACATTGAAATGGATGCTCCTTACCGCTAGGAGCTAACCCAACACTTCGACGTTAGCCCGGCAATCCGGTCGGGCTCCGCATTTCCGGCCTGAACGGGCCACACGACAGACAGGTCTTTGAAATGATCCTGAAAGCCCTCTTCTTCTACCTGTTTGCCGGTGTCACACTGGCGTCAGGGTTCATGGTGATCGCGGCCCGAAATCCGGTGACGTCGGTTCTGTTCCTGATCCTGGCCTTTGTGAATTCAGCAGGTTTGTTCGTGCTTCTCGGTGCTGAATACCTGGCGATGCTTCTTGTGGTCGTCTATGTCGGCGCGGTCGCGGTGCTTTTCCTGTTCGTTGTGATGATGCTGGACGTTGATTTCGTCGAGTTGCGGCAAGGCTTCCTGCAATATCTTCCGATCGGTGGTCTGGTTGGCCTCATTCTCATGGTCGAGCTCCTGATGGGCCTGGGAGCCTGGGTCATCGTACCTGACGTTCTTGGGCATGGCGCGGAACCGACACCGGACCTTGCCCAGACAAGCAACATCGAGGCGCTCGGGTCGGTGCTCTACACGAAATACATCTATTTCTTCCAGGTCGCAGGCCTGGTGCTGCTGGTGGCGATGATCGGGGCAATTGTCCTGACCCTGCGCCACAAGCCGAATGTCAAACGTCAAAGCATACCGGATCAGGTCGCACGCACACGCGAGTCGGCCGTCGAAGTCCGGAAGGTGGAGACGGGCAAGGGTATCTGACGCAGAACACTGCGTCATTTTAGGAAAGTCTGGTAACCGGCACGCTCCTCCGTGCGGTTTCCAGTGGGGTAAACGAGGGGAGCACGGCGAGGCGCCCATGGAAATCGGTCTGTCGCACTATTTGTCTGTCGCGGCCATCCTGTTCACGATCGGAATATTCGGGATCTTCCTGAACAGGAAAAACGTGATTGTCATCCTGATGTCCATCGAACTGCTTTTGCTGTCGGTGAACATCAACTTTGTCGCCTTTTCGTCGTTCCTCGGCGACCTGATGGGGCAGATCTTCACCATGCTGGTCCTCACCGTGGCCGCCGCGGAAGCGGCAATCGGGCTTGCGATCCTGGTAGTGTTCCACCGAAACCGCGGTTCCATTGCCGTGGAAGACGTCAACGTGATGAAAGGGTAGGAGCTGATGTATTCCGCAATCCTGTTCCTGCCGCTTATAGGCTTTCTGATTGCCGGCCTTTTCGGCCGTGCGATTGGCGACAAAGCCTGCGAATACGTCACGAGCGGGCTGGTCATACTGGCGGCCCTGTTGTCTTGGATCACGTTCTTCGGTTTCTGGCTCGGCGGCTCCGAACTGCAGATCGAGCCGTTGTTCCGCTGGATGGACGCAGGTGACCTGAAAGTCATGTGGTCCATTCGGGTCGACACCCTGACAGCGGTCATGCTGGTCGTGGTCAACACGGTTTCCGCGCTGGTGCATGTCTATTCCATCGGCTACATGCACCACGATCCGCACCGTCCCAGGTTTTTCGCCTATCTGTCGTTGTTCACCTTCGCGATGCTGTCGCTGGTAACAGCAGACAATCTTCTTCAGATGTTCTTCGGCTGGGAAGGCGTGGGTCTGGCTTCCTATCTGCTGATCGGTTTCTGGTACAAGAAGCCGTCAGCGAATGCGGCTGCGATCAAGGCCTTCGTCGTCAACCGGGTTGGTGACTTCGGCTTCGCACTCGGCATCTTCGGCATTTTCTTCATCTTCCAGAGCATCGAATTCACAACGATCTTCAACGACGCGCCTTCCTTCATCGAGGGGCAGGGCGAAGTGATGACCTTCCTTGGGTATCACCTTGATCCGCAAGCGGCGATGACGATTATCTGCCTGCTGCTTTTCATGGGAGCGATGGGCAAGTCGGCCCAGTTCCTGCTGCACACCTGGCTGCCGGACGCAATGGAAGGTCCGACACCGGTTTCAGCGCTGATCCATGCAGCAACCATGGTGACCGCGGGTGTCTTCATGGTGGCACGCCTGTCGCCCCTGATGGAACTGTCCCAGACCGCGTTGACGGTGATCATCTTCTTCGGTGCGACAACCGCTTTCTTTGCGGCAACGATCGGCCTGGTCCAGAACGATATCAAACGCGTGATTGCCTATTCGACTTGTTCGCAGCTCGGGTACATGTTCGTGGCACTCGGTGTTGGAGCCTATTCGATCGGCATTTTCCACCTGTTCACGCATGCGTTCTTCAAGGCGCTTCTGTTCCTGTGCGCCGGGTCCGTGATCCACGCAGTTTCCGATGAGCAGGACATGCGCAAGATGGGCGGTCTTCGCAAGCACATCCCGATCACCTACTGGACGATGATGATCGGCACGCTGGCACTGACCGGGGTCGGTATCCCACTCACTCATCTCGGATTTGCCGGGTTCATGTCCAAGGATGCGATCATCGAGGCCGCTTACGCCAGTGCCGGTGGTGAACATGCGAACCCGATGGCGCTATACGGTTTCTGGATGACGGTGATCGCTGCGGCGCTGACGTCGTTCTATTCCTGGCGCCTGACCTTCATGACTTTCCATGGCAAGCCACGTGCTCCGGTGGACGTGATGAAACATGTTCATGAATCGCCGCGTGTGATGACTATCCCCTTGTTCGTCCTGTCGGCCGGCGCTGCGCTTGCAGGAATGATCTTTTACAGTTCATTCTATGGTGAAGGCTATGAAGCCTTCTGGAAGGGCTCGCTCTTCACGTCGGAAGCCAATCACGTCCTTCACGAAATGCACTCTGTCCCCGCTTGGGTGAAAGTGTCACCATTTGTGATGATGGCTCTCGGTTTCCTGGTCGCCTATCAGTTCTATATCCGCTCTCCGGAAACACCGAAGAAGCTCGCGGAACGCCATCAGGGCCTATACCAGTTCCTGTTGAACAAGTGGTATTTCGACGAGATCTACGATTTCCTGATTGTCCGTCCCACGATGTGGCTTGGCCGTGTTCTCTGGAAGAAGGGCGACGGTACGGTCATCGACGGCTACGGTCCTGACGGAATTTCCGCACGTGTCCAGAACGTCACGTCCTGGGTCGTGAGGCTTCAGACCGGATATCTCTATCACTATGCATTTGCGATGCTGATCGGCGTTGCAGCGCTTATTACCTGGTCAATGTTCACCGGTGCCGGCACCGGCGGGGGTGCGCACTAATGATTGCCTGGCCAATTCTGTCACTCACGACATTTCTGCCGCTGCTTGGCGTGCTCTTCATTCTGCTCGTTTCGGGGGATGACGAAGGAAGCAAGCGCAACATCCGGATGGTCGCTCTGGTGACCACAGGTGTGACGTTCCTGTTGTCGCTTTTCATCTGGGGCAATTTCGACTACGCCAATCCAGGCTTCCAGTTCGTGGAAAACCGGGACTGGCTCGGTGGTGACATCAGCTACAAGATGGGTGTCGACGGGATTTCCGTCCTGTTCGTGATCCTGACCACCTTCCTGATGCCGTTCTGCATTCTCGCGTCCTGGGAAAGTGTCCAGAAACGCGTGAAGGAGTACATGATCGCGTTTCTGGTTCTGGAAACGCTGATGATAGGCGTGTTCTGTTCGCTTGACCTTTTCGTCTTCTACATCTTCTTCGAGGCAGGCCTTATCCCGATGTTCCTGATCATCGGCGTGTGGGGCGGCAAGCGCAGGGTCTACGCGTCCTACAAGTTCTTCCTCTATACGCTGCTCGGATCGGTCCTGATGCTGATCGCGATCATGACGATGTACTGGGACGCCGGCACAACAGACATTGAAAAATTGATGGCGCATACGTTCCCGTCCGGCATGCAGACGTGGTTATGGGTGGCGTTCTTTGCCAGCTTTGCAGTGAAGATGCCGATGTGGCCGGTACATACCTGGTTGCCCGATGCCCACGTGGAAGCGCCGACCGCGGGGTCGGTCATCCTGGCCGGCATTCTCCTGAAGCTTGGTGGTTACGGTTTCCTGCGCTTCTCGTTGCCCATGTTCCCGATTGCCTCGGACATGTTCGCACCGTTCATCTTTACCCTTTCCGTTGTGGCGATCATCTACACGTCGCTGGTTGCGCTCGCCCAGGAAGACATCAAGAAGCTGATTGCATACTCATCTGTCGCCCACATGGGTTACGTGACCATGGGTATCTTCACGATGACAGAGCAGGGTGTACAGGGCGGGATCTTCCAGATGCTGTCGCACGGTATCGTGTCCGGAGCGCTCTTCCTGTGTGTCGGGGTTATCTATGACAGGATGCACACCCGCGAAATCTCCGCTTACGGAGGGCTCGTCAACCGCATGCCGAAATACGCCGTTGCCTTCCTGATTTTCACCATGGCCAATGTGGGCCTGCCGGGCACGTCCGGTTTCGTGGGTGAAATCCTGACGCTCATGGGTGCATTCCAGGTCAACACCTGGGTGGCGTTCCTGGCAACGTCCGGTGTGATCCTGTCTGCAGCCTACGCGCTTTACCTCTACCGCCGTGTTGTGTTCGGTGCGCTGGAGAAGGAAAGCCTGAAGTCGATGCTGGATCTCAATCTTCGGGAGAAGGTCATACTGTTCCCGATGATCGTCCTGACGATTTTCTTCGGATTCTATCCAATGGCAATCCTGGATGTGACACAGGGCTCCGTGGACAATCTCATCAATCACTACACTGCAGCGCTCGAGGCGGCCGGGGTCACCCAGCACGCCGCGGCAGCTGCAGCGGCGCATTAAGGTATCGAGGGCGAGACAGAGCTATGTCAGATGTGACTCAATTGCCAGATCTCATGCCGGTTCTGCCGGAGATCATCCTGGCCGTCGGTGCCATGGTGCTTCTGATGATCGGCGCCTTCGGTGGAAAAGGCGTTAGCTACGCGGTCTTCGGCTTTGCTATGGGCCTGCTTGGCACAGCGTTCCTGATCCTCCTGCTCGTTCCGACATTTGGCGAGACGTTCGGCGGATCCTTCGTCCTGGACGAGTTCGCCTATCTGCTGAAACTCATGGTGCTGGTTGGTTCGTTCTTTGCCATTGCAATGTCCTGGGCTTATGCCAAGAGCCAGTCCTTCGATCATTTCGAGTATCCGATCCTGATCATTCTTGCGACGCTCGGCATGATGCTGATGCTGTCTGCGAACGACATGATTGCGCTTTATCTCGGTCTGGAACTGCAGAGCCTGTCGCTCTACGTGGTGGCCGCAATCAACCGGGACAGTGTGAGATCCACGGAAGCCGGGCTGAAGTATTTCGTTCTCGGGGCGCTGTCCTCAGGCATGCTGCTTTACGGAATGTCGCTGGTTTACGGCTTTACCGGACAGATTTCCTTTGCGGGCATCGCGGAAGTTCTCACGGATGACGGAGCGTCCATTGGTCTTGTCATTGGCCTGACATTCATCCTGGCAGGTCTCGCCTTCAAGATATCCGCCGTGCCGTTCCACATGTGGACACCTGACGTTTATGAAGGTGCACCGACACCCGTGACAGCGTTTCTGGCTGCGGCGCCGAAAGTCGCCGCGATGGGCATGCTGGTGCGGATCGTCATCGAGGCGTTTCATCCTGTCACCAGTGACTGGCAGCAGGTTATCGTCTTTGTCTCGATTGCTTCCATGGCGCTTGGTGCCTTTGCCGCAATCGGTCAGCGCAACCTGAAACGGCTGATGGCCTATTCCTCGATCGGGCATATGGGCTATGCGCTTGTGGGGCTGTCCGCGGGAACGCAGACCGGCGTCGAAGGCGTCATTTTCTACATGATTGCCTATCTCGGCATGACGCTTGGTGTGTTTGCCTGCATCCTGTCAATGCGCCGCAAGGACGGTATGGTCGAAGAGATCGATGACCTTGCCGGATTGTCCCAGACCAATCTTCCCATGGCGATCCTGCTCGCGCTCCTGATGTTCTCGCTTGCCGGTATTCCGCCGCTCGTCGGTTTCTTCGGCAAGTGGTACGTCTTTGTGGCTGCCGTTCAGGCCGGTCTCTATCCCCTGGCCATTATCGGTGTGCTGATGTCCGTAGTCGGAGCCTACTATTATCTGCGCATCGTCAAGGTGATGTTCTTTGACGAGCCGGTAGAGGGCTTTGAAACCATGCCGATGGAATTGCGCGTGGTTCTTGGCCTGTCGAGCGTCTTCGTGGTGCTTTTCTGGCTCGCGCCGGGACAAGTCGTCAATGCGGCCAGCACCGCGGCACAATCACTGTTCTGACCAAGCGCATGGCAGATCATTATTCCGAACGTCCGGCGCCTGGTGCGCCGGATTTTCTCTTTGAAGACCATAAAATCGTCGGATCCACCAATGCCCTTTGCTTCGAACGGGCTCGAATGGGTCATACCGGCGGACTCTGGATCCGTGCACAGGAACAGACCGAGGGGCGTGGGCGCAGGGGTCGGGAATGGTCCTCCCCGACGGGAAATCTCTTCACCAGTCTGCTTCTGGTCGACCCGAAACCCGCTGACAGGATCGGTGAATTGCCTCTTGTTGCGGCAGTTGCCCTGGCGGAAGCAGTTGACAAAGCAGCCGGAACGCTCCATCTGGTGGAATTGAAATGGCCGAACGACCTTTTGGTCAACGGGGCTAAGCTCTCGGGCATTCTGCTTGAGGCAGAAGTGCTTGCCGATGGCCGTCAGGCTGTTGTTATCGGCTTCGGGGTCAATTGTATTTCCCACCCGCCGCTTTCGCTGTATCAGGCAACCGATCTCAGGAGCCTAGGGTTCCAGGTGTCGGCTGAGCGTCTGTTCGAGGCGCTGGCGTCATCTTTCTCGGAGATGCTTGACGGTTGGCGGAAACCGGGCGGATTTGAAACGATCCAAAAGAAATGGCTCAAACGGGCGGCCCATCTGGGCAAAGAAATTACCGTCAGGACAGCCAGAGAAGAAATTTCCGGCATTTTTGCCGATCTGGATGCGCGTGGCCATCTCGTGCTCAAGCAGGATGATGGCGGAATGCGCACCATTTATGCAGGCGACGTGTTTTTGTCCGGCGAATGAGTTCCGGCAAATTGCCTGCCTACAGGTTTGAAGGAGCAATCCATGGCTTCGGCCAACAAGAATAAGAATGATATCGTATTCCTGCCTCTTGGCGGGGTCGGTGAAATAGGAATGAACCTCGGTCTTTACGGCTATGGTCCGGCGAACGACCGCACGTGGCTGATTGTTGATTGCGGGGTAAGTTTTGCGGGGCCGGACCTGCCCGGCATCGACGTAATTGTCCCCGACATCAAGTTTCTCGAAGATGAGGTCGACAATATTGCCGGTATGGTGATCACCCATGCGCATGAGGATCATTATGGCGGCATACTGCATCTATGGCCTTTTTTGAAGGTTCCGGTTTACGCAACCGCATTTACTGCGGGGCTTCTGGCTGCGAAGTCAGAGAGCGAACCGGGGGCAGAAGAGGTTCCGGTAACTGTCGTGAAACAAGGCGAACGGCACAAGATCGGTCCGTTCGATGTCGAATTCGTCGCAATGGCGCACTCGATACCGGAGCCCTGTGCACTGGCGATCCGGACACCGGCCGGACTGGTGCTGCACACCGGTGATTGGAAAATCGATCTGACGCCCGGCGTCGGCTTGCCCATTGATATGGACCGTCTGGCCGAGCTGGGCAGGGAAGGCGTCATGGCTCTTGTGTGCGACAGCACCAATGCGGTCAGGGATGGTGTCAGTCCCAGTGAGGCGGATGTGGCCGAAGAGCTGAAGAAGGTAATGGCGAAGGCCAAACAGCGTGTCGCGGTTACAACTTTTGCATCGAACGTCGCGAGGATACGAGCTATTGCAGAAGCAGCGGTAGCCAATGAGAGGGATGTTGTTGTCGTAGGCCGGTCGATGCACCGCGTGATCGAAGTGGCAGGCGAACTTGGTTACCTGGATGGCTTGCCGCAGTTTCACGATGAAGAAGCTTTCGGTTATCTGCCGCGGAACAAGGCAGTTCTGCTATGCACCGGTTCGCAAGGCGAAAGCCGGGCTGCACTCGCGCGCATTGCCGCCGGCGACCATCGCAATGTCGCGCTTTCGAAAGGTGACACCGTGATTTTCTCCTCCCGGACCATCCCAGGGAATGAAAAGGTGGTTGCAGAGGTGCTCAACAACCTAGCCGACAAGGATGTCCGGATCGTCACGGACAAGGACGCTCTTGTGCATGTGTCCGGTCACCCGCGCAGGGGCGAACTGGAGCAACTATACAAAGTGCTCAACCCGAAAGTCGTGCTTCCCGTACACGGCGAACCGTTGCATCTTGCCGCACATGCCGCGTTTGCGAAGGAACAGGGTGTTCCCGAAGTTGTGCGTGGCAAGAACGGGGACATCATCTGTCTGAATGCGGGCAAGGCTGCGGTCATTGACGAAGCGCCGTCGGGAATTCTCGTCAAAGATGGAGACATTCTTGACGATCCGGAAGTGACCGGAGTGAAAGAGCGGCGCAAATTGTCGTTTGCCGGCGCTGCCGTGATTGCACTGGTTGTCAACCGGGCAGGGGAACTGCTCACTGATCCGCACGTTACCCTGCTCGGGTTGCCGGACACGGATGATGACGGTGATCCGATGGAAGCCATCGTTGTCAAGGCTGTGACAGGCGCGGTAACGAGTATTCCGAAGTCCCGGCGCAAGGACAAGGACCTGGTCGCGGAAGCTGCCCGGCGGGCCGCTCGCGCAGAGATCCTCAACGTGTGGGGCAAAAAGACGCTCTGTAAGGTGATGGTGACCCAACTATAGTCCATCCGGCGGCCATGACAGCCGCCCATGCGGAGGAAGTGATATGATCGGTCGGCTAAATCATGTGGCCATTGCTGTCTCGGATATCGATGCTGCAACGGCGATTTACCGGGATACGCTTGGAGCGGACGTCTCATCGAGGGAAGAACAGCCGGATCATGGTGTGAGCACTGTGTTCATTAACTTGCCGAACACCAAGATCGAGCTGCTGGAGCCCCTGGGTGACGACTCGCCGATTGCCAAGTTTCTGGAGAAGAATCCCTCCGGCGGAATTCATCACGTCTGCTATGAAGTCGATGACATCCTGGCTGCACGGGATAAGCTCGTGGCGGATGGTGCACGGGTCCTTGGCGATGGTGAACCGAAGATCGGGGCGCACGGCAAGCCGGTCCTCTTTCTTCATCCGAAAGATTTTCTCGGCACACTTACGGAACTGGAAGAGGCCTGAATAATGTCGGTGGCGTTCGGACTGGCAATCTATTTCATGCTCTGGTGGATCATCCTGTTTGCGATCTTGCCGTTCGGGATTCACCGTACCCAGGAGGAGGCCGGAGACATTGTTCCCGGTACAGAGGCAAGCGCGCCGAACAAGCCCAGATTTCTGAGGGTAATCGTGCTGACAACGGTGGTAACCACAATCGTTTTCGGCAGCTACATCGCCTTGCGGCAATCCGGCTTCGGTCTCGACGATATACCCTTCCTGAAACCTCCAAGCAGCAGCGACAGTCTAACTGATTGATGCCATCGCAAATTTGCGGACCCTGAATTAAAACAAGAAGGCAATCGTTCGTGGAAGCGGCCCCTGAGGGCCGCTGCGTTCGTTTAGAATGATGCCGGACGATGAAAGTCAGTGTTGACGCTGTCTTCTTCGCTGCGCGACGAAGCCAAGCAGACCCAGTCCTCCTGCAAGAAGTGGCAGCGCAGCAGGCACCGGGACAGGTGTCACCCCGTACACGATGTCTATGGATGTCGAGGCAAGAACATCGCCATTCAGCGCGGCAGACAGATTTATGGTGTAAAGGCCCTCGGCCTGTGGATCAGCAACGCCGGGGAAAAGGGTGCTGAATCCCAGGTTCCATGAGTTCTGTGCGACATTGTAGTTTCCGACGATAGCGGAATACAAAAAAAGATCTGAAACACCAGCACCGTTTGCCGTGGAGTTGTTCCCCAGGGCATGATCTGCAAAGAGAGTGTTGATTGGGTCGAAGGATTGGAAACTTGTTCCTGAACCCGGATCCAGGTCAACCTGCAACAGGTATGTCAGGTCGGTCAAATTACGCGTTCCGATACCCGATACATTTGAGTTTATCGACCATTCGAAGTTGAATGCAGAGCGATTTGAGGGTGCGTTGCTTGATGCGGGCGAAAAGGTGTAGGTGCGATCGCCGTCGTAATTGAAGGTATTTTCCGGAAGCCCACTGTTGTTGTAGCGAAGCTTTCCTCGAAGACCCAATTCAACATTGTTGGCATTCACACCTGTGAACGCGCCATTTGCGTTGCCAGACCCGAAAATGACTTCCGGTGTGACCAAACCCGTTCCGTTGACCGGGCCAGCCTGCACAGTTGCCGGTACGATTGTTCCGGCAAACAACAGTGTTACACCCATCGTGAAAGATCTAAGCATGGATCGATTCATTCCCCAAAAAGAGTCATTAGTATTATTTTCAATGAAATTTATGCGGATTCTCTTTTGTAAATCAACCTATGGTTAAACTGTTTTGCCCGCTCGCGTAACAATCCGCGGCAAAAGTGTTGCAAATGTTGTGGAAGGTTTCGGTGTGTCCGAAAAGGAACCCGATCTCAGTCGTCGTAAAGCGTTGAAAAAAAAGAAAAAGGCAGAGCCAAGCTCTGCCTTTGGTAGTTCCGCGTCTAAATTGACCCCAATCCCTTACCGGCTGTTTGACCAACCTGGTCGGGCGGCTGCAATCTGAAGATGCGCCAGAGGGCCCTTCCTCCCAAGACTCAGACCGCGATGTCCTTGAGCATCTTGGCATTTCTGCCGAGACTTCTTTTTGTTATGAGGACGGAACCTATCGGATTGTTTTATGATTGTCACCTGTTTGTCGCACTGAGTCTATTTTTTTTGCTTGCCTAATTAATTTGCAGTCCCGAGCGTTCGCCATTCGGCTGAAATTCTCGACGAGACAGGGGTAGAAAATCGACGGATTGCTCCCGATTTCAGTCTGCAAAGAAGACTATTTCGGCAAATGAATGGGTGGTTTGCGTAAAGGGCTTGTTTTTAGGCGCGTCATGCGGTTTGACTGCGCACAAATTAGGCCAAGCGCAAATCGAGAGAATATTGATGCGTCTTTCCAGATATTTTCTGCCCATCCTGAAAGAGACTCCCAAGGAAGCCGAGATTGTCTCCCACCGGCTCATGTTGCGCGCCGGAATGATCCGACAGCAGTCGGCAGGAATTTACTCGTGGCTGCCGCTTGGTCTGAAGGTGCTGCGCAAGATCGAACGGATCGTTGAGGAGGAACAGGCGCGGGCCGGCGCCATACAGCTTCTGATGCCGACAATTCAATCCGCCGACCTTTGGCGTGAAAGCGGCCGCTATGATGCTTACGGCAAGGAAATGCTGCGCATAACGGACAGACACGAGCGTGACATGCTCTACGGTCCGACAAACGAAGAAATGATAACGGAAATCTTCCGCAGCTATGTGCGCTCCTATAAGGACCTTCCGTTGAATCTTTACCACATACAGTGGAAATTTCGTGACGAGGTCCGTCCGCGTTTCGGCATCATGCGTGGTCGTGAATTTCTGATGAAGGACGCCTATTCCTTCGATCTCGATCAGGAGCGGGCCGTTGAATCCTATAACCGGATGTTTGTCGCGTATCTGCGTACATACAAGCGCATGGGCCTGACCGCGATTCCGATGCGGGCCGAGACCGGTCCGATCGGTGGAGACCTCAGTCACGAGTTTATCGTTCTGGCTGATACCGGCGAGAGCGAGGTCTATTGTCATTCCGACTATCTGACCAAGGACACTCCGGGCGAAGAGGTCGATTTTGACGATGACCTCACGCCAATCGTGCAGGACTGGACCTCGCACTATGCGGCAACAGAAGACATAGTTGACAAGGCGGAGTTCGAGGCCAGCGTCCCGGAAGACAAGCGGATTGTTGCCAGGGGTATCGAAGTCGGACAGACCTTTTATTTCGGCACGAAATATTCCGAACCGATGGGTGCGAAGGTAGCCACGACGGAGGGCACCGAGGTCCCGGTTCACATGGGATCATACGGTGTTGGCGTATCGCGCCTTCTTGGCGCCTTGATCGAGGCAAATCATGACGAGAATGGAATCATATGGCCGAAATCAGTTGCACCTTTCCATGTCGGTCTGATCAACCTGAAGCCGGGAGATGAGCTGACGGATACGACGTCGGAAAGCCTTTATTCCAAGCTCGAGGCAGCCGGGATCGAGGTTCTCTATGATGATACGGATACACGCGCCGGAGCGAAATTCGCCACAATGGACCTGATCGGTTTGCCGTTTCAGGTTGTCGTCGGTCCGAGGGGACTGAGGGACGGCCTGCTTGAAGTCAAGGAACGCTCAACTGGGGAAAAGGAAATGCTGACCCCTGAAGCAACCTTGAACAAACTCACGGCGGCATTGACGGACTGATCCGGTCCGGTGATCCTCTAGGCGGGGATTCGGCCGCAACAAGTGCGGTTGCTCGGGCATTGCTGAAGTGGATTTACGATGACGGCAACAGACACTGTGGACGTTGGCCAAGGCCGGAAAGCGGCTCAGCCCACTCGGGCTTTCGCCACCTTTGAGTGGATGATTGCAGGCAGATATCTGCGTTCCCGCCGAAAAGAGACATTCATTTCGGTGATCGCAGGATTTTCGTTTGCCGGAATCATGCTCGGGGTTGCGACGCTCATCATTGTCATGGCAGTGATGAACGGTTTCAGATCCGAGCTTCTCGGCAAGATATTGGGCATCAATGGTCACATGCTGGTGCAACCCATTGACCTGCCGCTGAACGACTATGATGCAGTGTCGGCGCGCCTTGAAGGCGTTCCAGACGTCGTCGCCGCCATTCCGTTCATCGAAGGGCAGGCCCTTGTGTCAGGACCGGCAGGCAACCTCGGGGCTCTGGTGCGCGGGGTCTACGAAAGCGATCTGCGTCGGATACCGCTGATTGCCAACAATATGCGTTCCGGTACGATCGATGGCTTCGATGCGGGGGAAGGCGTTGCGATCGGGTCGCGGATGGCACAGCAACTCGGTCTGGTCGTCGGCGACAACGTAACCATCATTTCACCGCGTGGCAGCGTCACGCCGATGGGGGTGACGCCGCGGGTGAAAGCCTACCCGGTCTCAGCGATCTTCGAAATCGGCATGAGCGAATACGATTCCACATTTCTGTTCATGCCTTTGGAAGAAGCGCAGGCCTATTTCAACATGGGTGACAAGGCAACCGGTATCGAAATCTATGTAGTCGATCCGGACAATGTCGGAGTGATGACCAATGCGATCGAGGAAGGCGCGAACCGCCCGGCATTCGTGACGGACTGGCGTCAGCGGAATGTCACATTCTTTTCGGCTCTGGAGGTGGAGCGCAATGTGATGTTCATAATCCTGACCCTGATCGTTCTGGTCGCTGCGCTGAACATCATTTCCGGACTGATCATGCTGGTGAAAGACAAGGGCAGGGATATTGCCATCCTGCGCACCATGGGTGCAACGCGGGGCTCTATCATGCGGATATTCCTGATCACCGGGGCGAGTATCGGATGCGTCGGTACGCTTGCCGGGTTCTTTCTGGGACTGATCGTCTGTCTGAATATCGAGAGCATTCGTCAGTTTGTTTCATGGCTTACATCGACCCAACTCTTCGATCCGACGCTTTACTTCCTGTCCAAACTGCCAGCTGAAATCGACAGCGGTGAAACCATGACCGTGTTGCTGATGGCCCTGGCTCTCTCGCTGCTGGCAACGCTCTATCCGGCATGGCGGGCGGCGCGTCTCGATCCGGTTGAAGCTCTGAGATATGAGTAAGGAGCGGGAGATGAATATGGCAGTTGATCCGCAACCGGTTCCCGAACTTGCACCGGCCGCGCTGCAGCTTTCTGGTATTACCCGGAGCTTTGACGAAGGCGCCCGGGAGCTTCACATTCTCAAGGGGGCTGATCTGCGGATCGAGGCAGGGGAGATGGTCGCCCTGGTTGCACCGTCCGGTACAGGAAAGTCCACTCTCCTTCATATCGCCGGTCTTTTGGAGAGGCCTGATGACGGAGATGTCTTTCTCGGGCCCGTAAACTGTTCGGATCTGTCCGACGACGAACGCACCGCGATCCGCCGCAACGATATCGGATTTGTCTATCAGTTCCATCATCTGCTGCCTGAGTTCACTGCGCAGGAAAACGTCATGATGCCGCAGATGATCCGTGGCTTGCCCCGCAAGGTCGCCGCCGAACGGGCGGACGAGC